CTGTCATGGCCATTTGGCAGTTTCCAGAACTTTGGAGAAGGGAGCTAAAATCTACTGAGCTGGGGCTGGCTCCCTGGTGCAGCAGTAAAGCACTGCTCAAGAATAACTGTTAATAGATCTTGCGTGGCAACTGCAGTTTGAATCCCTAGCTCAGTTACCTTGAAACATAGCTGGCACACGTGTGAGGGCTCAAGATCCAACGGACTGGAGAAGTGGAGTGTGGCGTGACCAGACTGTGTGGAGGGTGCTCCTCTCTCTCTCTCTCTGTGTCACTGCCACATGTGTGTACACAAACTCTCTCATAAATAAAAGAAAAAATCCACTGAGTGACCCACTGTGTCAAGTGCCTTACCCATATCATTTTATTTACCTATGTCAAGAAAGGGACTAAAGACTCTAGAACACAGAACCAGAGTTTCTCTTCCTGGAGGCACTCAGAAAATAAACTCTGGGAAAGTCTCCAGCTGTTGTTCCACACGGCAACAGTGCTTCTGGTATATCTGTTGGTAGCAAATGACAGACTAATAGAGTCCCAGGCAAAACCAGGATTTTACTCCTGTTGCAAATGTTCACTTCCATAGCAAGAAGACACATGGCCCAGGCATGGGTGGATGTGGAGATGGCTCTTTCTTTCTGGGGCAGTAATTGCCTTCATTCTCCCAACTGCACAATCAGACAATAAGTCCCTGTGAACAGCTGCTATAGTTAACAGCACAAACTAAAAGGAAATGGCTCAGTTCACAAACTGAATCACAAAGAGGCCACCCTCTAAAGGGCAAAAGCAAGACAGTGGTCAAAAGCCTTTAAAATACAACACAAGGAATCTAAAGGGCCTTATTTCTGAGAACATGCCACAAGACTTTAAGACTCTTCTTTTAAAAAATTTTTTCTAGAAGACATGTGTTCTTTCCAGAGACAGAGAGTGAGAAAGCACACTCCTTGGGGGATAGCCTTGTCACTGTCCCATCTCCTCTCTCTCACTCCTTTCGAGATCAAGCACACATGCTCAGCGTGTTTCTTGAGCTGCTATGTCCAGGACTCAAACTGTGCAGTCAGCTGCATGGGATCCTGCTGCCTTACCCACCACACCACTGGCTGGCCCAAGACTTTAAGTTGCTTACAATATGGCAAGCAATCCGTCTCCCAAATATCATCTTACATTTGCATTGTGTTCGTATAGCAATTTCACATAGGTTAATAAATCTTCCATAACAATTTAGGCAGGTAGTGTAGCTATTAAGACACTAAGCCCAACTGAATTTCACAGGGCCACATGGGTTTCAGAATGTGTCCACAAATTCAGTAATGAGAGAGAAATGTGCTGGATATGAAGAAAACTAAAGAAATGTGTTACCTTCCAGAATGTCAACAGATGCCAAAGGACCCAAGCCCTCTGGAGATACAGATCGTCTATTATCTTAAGGGCCTGAAATTAAATGCCTCAAACACTTTACACATGGCCCAGCCACAGTAGTAGGGACTGCTAATGTGCTGGGCTCTGCAGGCTGGGACCACAAGGGAGGCCAAGGACCAAAGGCCAGGCACGGTGTGAGGCTGAGGCATGAGGATCGTGAGGCTCAGGTCTACCTAACAAAGAGCTGGGCACGGTGGCATGCACCTGTAATCCCAGCTGTAGCTGGGGATGCTGAGGCAGTGGATAGTAACAGGATGAGACCCTGCTGTCCTAAGATAACAAACAGAAGAAAACAAAACTCTGCACATGCTCAGTACTCTCTGGTAATTACCAGAAAAAATAATGCTTGTGTTACCATGTTCTGGTCACAGACATTAGCATTAGCCCAGAGATAACAAACAGCTATTTCTGAGCAAGGGTCTAGGGAGCCTAGCCATAGGCTGAAAAAAAAAAAAAGGGCTGGTCTTTGGTCTCTATCAGAACCACTCCTTCTCTGCCTCAATCTGGTCTGCTGTTTGAGAGGGGAGGAGTAGGGGGAGTCCTTGAAGAAAGCAGTAGGGAGGAGCTTCTTGGTTAAGAAGCAGAACCTTAGGGCTGTGTGGTAACTATGTGCGTAAACACACGCTTAGGACGTGCCAGACATCTGAAGCAGGAAATAGGCAAAGGAAGCACTGAGGTTTCCTTTCTGCTAGGGATTCCCCTCTCAGGTTAAGCAAAAGGTCAGGAAAGATAAAGCCCCTCCTCCAATGTTAATAAAGCCCAAGGATGATGGAAACTCCAGGAGGGAGAGGGGTTCTAAAATGGCATACAACAGTGGTATCCACCTAATTCTTTTGTAAACGCACAATAAAGTCATCTGATTTCAAAAAGAACAAGCTATGTCTAAAGTCTAACAGACACCAGGTGCCCTGTTATTCAGTAACTACCCCTTAATGAAAGCTATCATGCTGGAGGAGAAAAAAGTTAGGACAGGTAAAATCCCACTTAGTACACATTCAGGGAATACCCTCTTAGGCTGGGGAACAGCAGCAATAACCATTAACTGCAATTCATTTCACCTGTTCGTCAACCTTATTTTCCTAAGGGTTTCATATCTTTTTTTTTTTTTTGAGAGGTTTTTCACTATAGGGCGCGTGCGCTCGCGAGACAGAGAGAGATAGAGAGACAGAAAGTGAGAATCACCCCCCCAGAGGTGATGGCTACGCTGCAATCCTTTCTCCTCCATTCTCCTCTCTGGATCTTGGGCACGCACGCACACGCGCCCGGCGTGGGTTTTAAGCCACCGGGTCCGGGACGCGAACCGCGGTTGACTACGTGGGAGTCCAGCGACATAACCATTACGCTAACTGCTGGTTCCCAGGGTTTCATATCTTATACCAGCACTTTGGCATACATTATCTTATTTATATAATTAATTCTGAATCATGAAGGTTTAAATTTTTTTTTCTCAGTTTACTCTTACATTCATCAAATAAGAGTTCTCTTGTTTTCTTTTAATTAAACCAGCCTGAAGACAGAAACAGGCAATTCAAAGTATCTGTAGGAACTGTCCATTATTTTATCACTTGCCCATATTTCTTGTCTCCAGATAACTCTATTACAGTTCCATTCAACTGAGCCCTTGAACAAAGAACAAGAGGAAGCCCCAAGGAGCTGCACTTGTACAGCTTTCTGTTGCAGAGCTGACCGGACACTTGGATTTACTTCCATCTTAGGCTATGTCCCTCCCAAAGTCCTGACCAAAGACAGGCAACCTTTCCTGCGCCATCGTTCCTAGATTTTCCTAAATTACTTACATTTTTCTTTAGATTATTTAGCTTATGTTCTTCAAAAGCCATTTACATGCCTGTTTCCCACTGTCTTCCTCATGCCCTCAAGTATTGTTTTGTTGGATAAAAATATTCTTATCTTTTTGTAAAGATCAATTCTCCAGTAACTAGTTCTTGTGGTTTTTCAAAGGTGTTCTTCAGCTGAAGAATCATTTTATACTATCCCCAAAGTTTCTCAAGTACAGGTTTTTAAAAGGCTCAGTAGTAGGGCCAGCGGGTGGCATAGATGTTAAGGCAGTTGGATCCCACATAGCCAACTGCACAGTTCGAATCCTGGACCAGATAGCTTGAGAATCATGCTGGGCACGTATGCAAGCATACTCACAATCCCAAGAGAACAGAGGGCAAGGAACTGCAGTGTGGCCAACTTCCCCGCTCCACCCCGTCCCCCGGAGGTGTGCCTTCTCACTATCCTCTTTCTCTCTCTGGTGAGTACGTGCAGCCTATGGCAAACTTTAAAGAAAAAAAAAGCTCAGAGGTTCTTTTCTTTATTCTATATACATTTCCACTTCCTGTCACCCAAATGTTAGTTTTCCTTATTCTATAATGCTTCCTATCAATTTTCTATTTATTACTATCCCTCATCTCTTGTAGCCTTTTCTCATTTTTTTAAAATAATTTTTTAAAATTAATTTTATTTATTCATTCATTTACTTTAATTTGACCAGAGAGAGACACACACAGAAAGAGAGAGAGAGAGAGAGAGAGAGAGAGAGAGAGAGAGATATGAAAGAGAGAAAGCAAGCCGCCAGGTCCAGGACTCAAACTGTGGTCAGCCATGTGGGAATATTCAGCACCTTAACCACCATGCCTCCTGTTGGTCCCTCTTCTAGCTTTTCCTTCCACTCTCCCCTCCTCCTTAAAAGTCTGAAATTGGGTCAGCTGGTGGCGTTGTAGTTAAGGCAGCAGGATCCCACATGGCTGACTGCACAGTTTGAGTCTCAGACCTGAAGGTTTGAAAAACATGCCAGGAATGTGTGTGAGCCCAAAATCTCAAGAAGAGAACAAACTGATGGTGTGATCATCCCCTGGGGAGATGCTTTCTTTCTCTTGCTTCTCTTTTTTCTCCCTCCCCATCTCTCTCAGGTGATCACTTACTTGCCCTACAGCAAAACTAAAAAAAAGTTTGAATAATTTTAACTAAAAGCTATTTTCAACTAGTATCTCTAAAAGACAGCACAGTTATTCAAGACTATAGCACTGAATCAATGTCCTAGATAAATGTGTCTCTAGATACAGAGACATACACACACACACACACACACACACACACACACACACTATAGATACAGAGACATACACACACACATACACTATCTAGAGGTACATATACCTAGGACATGGATATTCACCCGCTCACGCTAACTATCAGTCCTAAAACGTCTTTGGAATGAAAAACAAATCACTTTTTTTAACCTTGGACACTAACACATAACTGAATTCTAGCTTTCAAATATTATAATGATACATATCTGACTTCTGTCACAAGAGAGTTAATGGCATATGCTTAAATGTTTTATCACATCAACAGTTCTGTGGGACAGCTGGTCCAGTCCTATGGCTGACAGCACAGCCAGAATTATTATTCAAGGCTGTTAATACAACTTTTTGTATCAATAAGATCAGAGCTGGTTATCACATGACTGCTGAGAAGACCATAGGCTTCTGGGCAAAGCACAGCCTGTGGCCTGACAGGTCACAGAAACCTTGCAGCACAGCACACCACTGCCTGCTCTGGCTGCTGCAGCAGGGCATACCTCTTCGTAATTTTTCGCCTCCACTCCATGCTTCATGTCTAGGATCACGAGTTGGTCAGGTATCCGCCCTGTTCCTGAGAAAGAAATCAAAGGATTCATTGTGCGGAATAGTTAAAATTCCGGGAAATCACCCACCCACCCTCCCTCTCCCTAACCCCCATCCTCTCAATAGAGGGAAACAGCCATGACTCCTCCCCCTGCTCAGCTGCAGAAAATTCCTGGCTCTGGCTAAAATCACAACATTCCAGACAAAGCCTGTATCTGTGTGGGGTGCCGGAAAGCAAAGAGAACACACTGCTAGCAAACATTTCTGAGCAGGCAGGACACAGACACTGCAGCCGCTACTGCTGAGGAATAGAGAGGAGAAGAGAAAACACACAGGCTTACTGGATTAGAACATAAAACTCCCAAGTCCAGCAGTGGGAAACCGAGTGCATGGAGACTGATAGCGGGGCATGCCAGCTCGGGCTGAGAGCGTATTTCCGCATCAAGAAAGCTGCCCCGCCAAATTCTGAAAGTCACGCTAAGTTAGGATTACTGGGTAGACGCTAAGCTTGGATTTACTTAAAATAAATGTAAGTATTGAAAAGAACATAGGTTTTATATAATAGTCCACTTAAGTTCATATATTTTGTTTAACGTAAGGCTACATCAATAAATTAATAAAATGTTATAAGGTTATTCCCACTAAGCCCTTAAATGAGTTAGAATGGCTCAAGGAAAAAACTTTTATAATAAGAGTACAATTCTCAGGGATGCATCTTAGAGAGAAAAATATCTCTTTGAGATACTGGGGCTAACAGCAATGTTCATAAAAAATAAATCTATGGGGTAGTCAGAAAGGTCATGATGCAAATATGTCACGAGTTTTCCACTGACCCAATAATTTATCTTGATCAAAAAAGAATTCCAATCTTAAATTATCAAGTAGGAGAAAGTGAAAGACTTTTAGACTAAGAAAACGGCTTAGTCCCAATTCCCTGGAATTCACCTATTTATAAAATAATGTCCTGCATGAAATGAGAAGTTCTGGGAAACAATGCCACTTAAGCCCTGGGACTCCTGAGGCCATAAGCCACAGAGAATGTTACTGTACCCTCTGCTGATCGAGAAATATTGGCAGTTTTCTGGAACAGACTGAAGTTAATTCAGCAACTCCTTATTGAGATGGCCCTGCAGCACAGTGGGTAAAGGAGCCAGATTTGCATGGTCAACCGTGGTTTGAATCCTGGCCTGGTGGCTTGACAAATATGTTGGGCACATATGCATGTATGCCCAAAGTGGTGAGGGGAAGAAGAAATGGAGGAAAAGGATTGCAGCACGACCAGGGCCCATTGGAGGGTGCATGCGCACACACGCTCTCTCTTACACACACCTGGTCTCCGGCAATAAAAACAAAACACACTGAAAACTCCTCATTGAGAACTCACTGGGTACTACAACTGTTCTGGAAATTTTAAGTGGTGTGATCTTTGCCTTCAAATATAATTCCATGTAGGGCTCTAAGACATACATGCACATAACAGCTATGGTGAAAATCCAAAGCAGTATAAAATTTCAAGCCAAAACAACTGAATCAGATAATCCTAACTATGGAGCAAGGTCGGAGAAAGTCAGAAATTAGCTGTGGACAGACTTCACTCAAGAGCAAGCAACTGAAAACAGGACTCTGGTAAAGTGTTCTAGGAAGAAGGTGAAACACGGGCAAAGGTTCAGATAATGAAATGATCCTGACATGTGTGAAACACATTAAAGAACTTCTTTTGGATAAGCTGGAAAGAGCAACTTGAAACCAAGAGAAATAAAACTGCACAGGTAAGATTAAGATCAAACTAAGACAAACCACAGATGATTTCTAAACATTAAATCAAGTCCCCCAAAACATCAAAATAACCAAACAAACAAACAAAAATAGCACTTAGAACATTCTCTTTTCCCAAATCTGAAGTGGTATACTGAATATGACATCATCTACAAGAAATGTAATGCAGGAGCCAACAGGTGGCCTGGTAGTTAAGGGTGCTGGACTCTCACATGGCCGACCACAGTTAAAGTCCTGGACCCAGTGGCTTGCTTTCTCACATTCTCTTTCTCTCTGTCCCTCTCTGGCCAAATAAATAAATAATTACATAAAATAATTGTTTTTAAAAAAGAGAGAGAGATGTATGGCAAATTCTTGCTTTTCTTTCTTCACTTAAAAAGTTGTGAAATCCAAGCAGGTCGCAACCCCAGCTAGTCCAAACGATCAAGGCATCCTTCTCCCTAACAGTCTTCAAACCATCTGTCTGTCTGTTATAGCACAGCATTCTCAATATTCAAGCCCAAATGAAACCACAAGACCACAGACCTCTGGCAGGTCAGAGTCCAGACTATGGAAGTCTCTTGCACAGAATAGCCAGCCTATTCCTTTGGCTGACATTATAACCTTAAAGACTATAAATGTAAAAAAGGCCATTCAGTAATTTCTCTCTTTGCATCTGTCTGGCAATAAGAAATCCTTTTTTAACTTTTAAAGACTATTTTGTTAGAGCAGTTTTAGTTTCACAGCAATACTCAGAGGAAGGTACAGAAATTTTCTATATTCCCCTTACCTCCACAAATGCATAGCTTCCCCCATTATCTCCTACTAGAGTGATACATTTGATACAAATGATTAACATACAATGACAAATCGTTATCACTCAATATCCATAGTTTACATTAGAGTTCTCCCTTGGTATATATTCCAAACATAATGTCCAGACATATGTACAATGATATATACCCACCATTACAGTATCATACACTGTATTTTCACTGCCCTAAAAAGCCTCTTTGCTCAACCTGTTCAACCTTTCATTCTACCTAGACAAACTTTAGTTTTTGGAGAGGTTTTTGCTATAGGGTGCGTGTGCTCGCCAGAAAGACAGAGAGAGACAGCGAGACAAAAAGTGAGATGGGGGGGATAGTCATGCCGCAATCCCTTCTCCTCTATTTTCCTCTTGGGCTCTTAGGCACACACGCACATGTGCCTGGCATGAGTTTAAGCCACCAGGTCCAGGACTTGAACCACAGTTGACAACATAGGAGTCCAGCAACACAGCCATTACACCAACTGCTGGTTCCCCACCTAGACAAAGATGCTCCTGTGACTACAATGTATGAGGTTTCTATATCAGAATAAACAAAGAAGAAAAATGAAATGAGAAATTGAATACTGACTATAGCAGAGGGAAAGAAGGAACTGGAGAATATGCTTAATTCAGGAAAAACACTGATTACTTACCCTTGCTCTCAAAACACACTTCGAACATGTCATAATCTTCGGTGGTAAAGGCAAATTTCCCTTTGGTTGCATCCTCCTTGGAATACAGAATATGGCCAGCAGAATCTGTGATCTAAAATAAGAAAGAAGGTAAGAATAGGAAGGAACTAACACTAGGGAAGAGGACTTACAGAAACTAAGGCGATAGAGACACCATCTACAAAAGATAGTTGATGCTTCTTATTATGATGACTATGCTCCAGCCATCCCCAAAGGCAGTAATCACATTAGATGATGAAACCCAAATAACTGTCATTTCACTCATTCAAACTGCCTGACTATACCAAAAGTTAAAAGCTGTTGCCACTATAGGATCATACCAAAAAATTGATGTGGCCAATGTTCTAAGTTATATAAACTGGTATGTTGGCAAAAATTCACTTCATAGAACAAATATTAGTATTATTTCCAATAGCAAGATATGTCACAAAAACAGAAATGGACAATTACTAAAAGAATATACAAGAGAGAGAAAGATATATAAAAATAAATTTCTATAAAACAAATTTCGAGACCGTTTCTGTTCTGGACTGTGAAGCTGGAAGCCCTGTGCCGATCGTGGTTTAAGTAACCAGCCCAACTGGCCTGAAAGGCACTGGGCATGTGTGGGAATGCCCAGGATCCTGATGGGCTGGAAGACTGGAGGACGGGGATTGGGGCACGACTGAGTCCCATGAGAGGGGCTCTTCTCTCTCAAACATGCATGCAAACACTACCACAGAAAAAAAAAATCTTGATGGGTGGGGGCGAAGAACGGAATTAGAACACCTAAAGGAAAAGAAAGCAGACATGAGAAAAGAAAATCAGATCTATTCCTGTAAAGTGCAAGTGAATTATGTCAATGGCTACACCGGGTGGGAGCAAGATGCAAGGGATAAACAAGTTTCTCCTAAAAAGACAACCTTGGCTCCTACAAATGACTATTCCTTTGTTCTAGGTTCTGAGCTTTAGCTCTCCCACTGAAAGTGCTCCACTTCTAGACAATTCTCTAAAGGCACAGATGAAGGGGAAGAGTTGGTAAGTGAATGCCGCATAAAAAGAAAGGGAATGATACAGTAATTCAACAGCCTGACTCCCAGACTTCTATTTTAGAGCACAAGGCTGTCTTAGCAGAGGCATATTTCATCACCTCAGACTTGAGGCTACTTTGCAATGTGGAACACAAAAGTAGTGGAGTTGTTATACTGAACTGGATGTTCTAATGCTATTTATTAAAAGCAAATTTTATTATGGGTGAAATTTTAGAAAGTTGAGCAGCACATATTTAAGCTCATATATTTAGAAGCACTTTATAACACTAGCTATTTCTGAGAGACAAAAATTACTCTTCATACTTTTTAATTTTCTTCAATTTTCTACAAAGGCATGTATCATTTATGGTCAAGAATAATAAAGCTCTCTCATTTTGGAACAAAACCATGAAAACTAAAGAAAGGTTATCACTACTAGATAAATTTGAAATGAGTTAATAAAAAAGGTTTTATGGCATGTTTTTTAAACTCCCTAATAATAACTGCAGTTAAATTAATCAAGCATCTTCTGTTATCCACTATCATTCATTAACTTGTCAAACATTTAAGATACCTACATCTCTGCTGGTCACTGGAATATAAGAGCGAGTAAGATAATACCTGTTTTCAAAGGGACTAAGAGACTAAGTGAGGAGAGGGATAAGAAATGAGACAACTTCACTGTGATTCTGATTTGCAATTCCCTAAAGATTAGTGATGCTGAGCACCTTTGCATACATATGAGGGGACTTCAAAGTTGGTGGGAAAATGTATTTAAAGTATGTGTTTATTTTGGTGCAAAAAAGTTGAAACCTATGCATAGTTTTCTCACAATACTCATTTTCCATGAACTTTAAAAATATCCCATGTATGCTGCCATTTGTACGGGGTGATGTAATATGTTGATTAGCGAGACTGTGCTAATCATTTCACAATATAATCATATTGTATGCTTTGAATATATACAATTTTCAATAGTCAATTATACGTCAATAAAGCTGGAAAGAAAACAAATGAAACAGCTTCACTCTAATATGGAAAGTGCACAACCAGAGGTATGCCTAGGTGCCATGGGATTAGAGGGTCAGGGAATCTCTTGGAGGAGATAACTTACCAGCTGAATATTGAAGGATAAATCTCAATCAAGAGAGGAATAGGGGCAGAAAATATTCAGGGTAAAAGAGATGACAAATATGAAGGCCTAGGGTCCAGGGGGAAAATATCTAAAACATGGCAACATCATAATAATGCTAATAGCTAATGTTTATTAGACACTAAGCGTTGAGTACTGTACTTTATGTGCATTTTAAATGTAATCCTCACAATAACATTAGAGGTAAGAATTATTATTTTCCCCATGTTCCAAATGAGTAAACTGAGGCAAAGAGGAGTTAAGAAGCTGAAGGAGTTCTGGCCAGATCATAGAGAACTATACCACCACACTAAGGAGTTTAAACTTCATTTAGTGCAAGGTAGAGAGACAATAAAGAATTTGAAATTGGAGATGATATAATTCAATTCATAATTTAGAAACACAAACCAGACAGGAACTGTGAAGACAGAAGAAGAGGGACCGACCATATTAGAGATGAGATGGATTAGGTTCTGGTCTAAGTGAAAAATGAGAAGGCCTTTGGTATGGAGGGAAGAGGATGGATGTGAGAAATTTTAAAGAGATAGAGCCTATGAGACAAGGCTGAGAAGTAAGTGCTCACAGGGTCAGTGAGAAACGTACTGTCTAGTGGAGCAGCATTAGTCACAGGGAGAGGAGGACACCGACAAACTGAAGGTGATGAGATGGCCCGCCTTGAGGGGCAAGGCAATGACTGCCATGGCATTCCAGGTTTTCAATGCATCCAATTTTTCAAGAGACCCTACATATTTTAGCTTTTATTGGAAATCTCCTAATTTCTAAATCCTTACAACCAACCCCAACTTTTGAGAAACCATCTTGAGGTTAAACAAAACATGATTAGAAAATCAAGTTCTTCTGGGCTACAATTTTGACCTATGCATAGGGAAAAAAGAAAGGTGACTCAAATCACACAAAGGATCTGTTGGGCAGCACCACAGAATCAGCTGAGGTCACGTACCACAAATTTCTAGTGGCAACGCCTAGCGACCAGGACGCAAAAAAAGGTCATTATCAGATCTAGAGCCTAGGGTTCCAAGACTGACTGGTTTGAAGGATAACGGGATTAAGGAATCATGCTATATACTTCACAAACAACCTTTAATCCTCTACACAATCCCACGGAGGCCAGTCTTATCCCATTTTACTGATGAGGAAACTTAGTAACTTGCCCATTATCACCGAGTTAATAAATGGTGTTATGTGGGTTTGGGAAATCCTAAAACCCATGCTCTTCTACTTTCTGTGTTGCCCACTGCCCCCATCCTTGCCCTGAAAAGAATGTATGAAAGAAGTGGAAGGCACAGAAGACAAGAACAACTAACAGAATTTTAAAGACATTCTCCTCTGAGAGTTACGTTTCCTGCTTCAACAGTGCTTGGACAGAACCTGGTATCATATCCTATTCTAGCCAGCAGCTCAAAGCCAGCCGTCTACCACCACCTCCTCCTTGTGCCCACCATGACAAGCACCTCCCACTGGCATGTGGATTGCACTGCGATCTTTTTCCCTCCATTTCTCTATTCCATCAGAATTTGGGGCACACACACATGCATGTATACACACACAGATGCTGATGTGTTTTTCAAGCTGCTGTGTTGGGATTTGAACAGTGGTTGGCCATGTGGGATAGGGTCCCCTATGCATAACTGCAGGGCTGTTCCTCTCTTCCAATTTTTTTTTTTTTCCATTTAAGGAGTGTCTTGAGATCATAAAGGGGCTTAAGTGCATGTCATAAAATGCTTACTAAGGCATTGGTAAAAATCCTCCACTGAGGGCCGGCTACACAGTGTGGTGGTTAAGATGGCTGGATCCCACACAGCTGACTATGCAGTCTGAGTCCTGGACCTGGTGTGTTGAAAAACATGCCAGGTGCACAAGTGCATGTGTGCTCAAATCCTGAGAGAATGGAGGAGAAGGGACTATGGAATGGCCATCGCCCTGGGGGATACTTTCTCTCTTTCTGGTGAGTGTACATGCCCTATGGCAAGTTAAAAAAAAATGTATGGAGTATTTTGCAAAATCAATGAAGAAGTTTTCCAAGTTTTTCTGAAAGAGTCCAGAACTCACACCCTCAACTGATACTGAAAAGGGATTAAAAATTGCTTAAACGGTCTTCTCATGGGCCAGCCCCGTAATGGACTGGTTAAAGAGGTTAACTCCCACATGACCCACTGCAGTTTGAATCCTGGCCCCTGGGGCTTGTAAAACATGTTGGGCTGTGTGTATGCCCAAAGTCTGATGGGATGGAAGACTGGAGGAAAAGGATTACATGTGATTATGCCCCATTGGGGGATGCTTCTTCTCTCTTTCTGGTGTGTGCACATGCCCTCTAGCAATAAAAAATGTATTCTTCCACCTTGTACTAAGGAACTACAATCAGAGCCATTTGTTTGGTCTGCTCTGATATCTAAAACATTACTGAAGATTCATTCTAGGCAAAGATTCAAATGCATTTCAAGAGGCAAAGCCCCCACTACTGTCGCATGTACCCTTTTTTTTTTTTTTTAGGTTTCTGCCATAGAGCATGTATGCTCACTGGAAAGAGACAGAGAGAAGTGAGAAATTCCCCCCAAAGGGGATGGCCATGCCAAAATCCCTTCTACTCTATTCTCCTCTCAGGATTTTTGGGCATACAGGAACACGTACCCAGTATGATTTTTAAGCCACTGGTTGGCCATGTGGGAGTCCAGTGCTTTAACCACCATGCCACCTGCTGGTTCACCTATACTTTTCATCAGCATGAAATTTACCTCCCACAATAGTGAGCAATAATGCCCGCAATCCCCTTAGGGTTTCCTTTTTTTTTTTTTTTTTTTTTCAGAGGGGACATGCTTGCCAAAAAGAACAATAAAGAAAGACCCCTAATGAAGCATGGTCATGCCACTATCCCTTCTCCTCCACTTCTCCATTCTGGCAGGATATGGGGGC